TTGTAATTATTAAGAAGTTGAGAATTTAAACTTTGATTTAATTTTAACTACTTAAATTTAAATTTACATGTGACTAGTGGCTACTGTAATAGACAACAAAACTCTTGTAACAGAGACTAGAGACTATGGCCTGCTTTTATATGTCCCTTGAGCTAACAATGATTTTTCTGTTTTTAAAGGATTGTAAACACACACACACACAAGCACACACTTGTGCACATAAACACATGCAAGTGAAAAAGAATATTGAGTGCAATGGAGTGGCCCACAAATCTTAAAATAGTTTTTTGCCCTCTATGAAAAAGTTTGCAGACTCCTGTCCTAAAATGTTAATTTTATTTAGTACAGCATGCGTAGTTAGGAAATAAATTTAAAAGCAGATATTTTGGAAAGTATGCTATTTTCTAGCATTCTAGAATTTATACATTTATTATGATGATGGGTTACTATTAAGAAATTTGTAAACATTTTACATGACAGTTTTGAGATTTTGGAGATATGAAGGCCTTAATTTAACTTTCCCATTAACTATTGATAATGCTTTATTTCATGTTTATGGTTGATAAATTATCAATATCATCTAAAGTTTGATGAAGTAAAGATACATTATTTAGATTTTAAACCTTACAAGAAAAGATCAGTGATAGCCAAAGAAAGTTTTTCTGTATTTTAAAGTATTCATAATTAGAGATGGGAGAGCAAATTTTCAAATGTGGAATTCCTTAGAATTGTCTTTTATGTACCTTCTACTGAAATCTTTTGCTTTCTGTGTATATCTGTGGAAACTATGGCATCTTCCAAATCTTAGAATTATTTTATTCCTAGATTTTGAATTTTAAGAATCCATAAAAATTGTATCTTATTGTTTCATCTCCTGGAAAATTTTCTCAGAAATATTTATTTTAAGGTATTGAAAATTTTGAGTTATCAAATTCACAATATTTATAATTTGTTATGCCAAACTTACTCCATAAACTGTATCCAAAATAATTTGAATAACATTTAGCATTTCTTTTATTGAAAATGACTTGACTCATTTCTGCAATGTCTCTTCAGTTTTGTATATAGTTTCTTAAATGATGTGTCATATTACTTGATGCCAATGTTTGTAGTCTGAATAAATATTCTTTCACAATATTATCAAGTTTTACTATGGTCTCTGCCAAATGCAGAAAATTTCCATTATCACTCTCATAAACTTTCTTGGATGATCTTCTGAACACATTTGCCTTGCCAAAATCAAAATTATGTATAGTATATATTCAACAACAACATGCCATATCTTCATTTAGTCTCTATTCTTCAACAAAAATAGTTACTGATTTTTCCAAATTAGATTTTCATTATAAATATCTAACACTGTGATTGCTGTCCCGTTTATTTTGTTCACGTTTCCTCATTGCTCATGACTGATTATTGTCCATTCTTAAGTAATGGTTGATGTTTTTTATCCCTGAAGAAATTGAAAAGAAATATGAGACCCTTTGCATGTAGAAACCAGTACATATGAGTTTTTTTATCTAAAAAATATCAGAATAAAATAACTACCCTCAAACTTCCTTCTTGCTCTGTCTTTCGTAAATTGAAACTTTCTTATGTAAGTTGCAAAATTTTCAGCAAAAGTGGCTCATTGCTGAATATTTAAAAATATGTCCACCTTCTGAGATTGTAAGGGAACGCATTTCATTTGATGATTCTTCAGAATTTGTTTTTGTCTGCTAGATTTTCTTGAAGGTCAGTAGTCGTTGACATGGCAGTGGGAGATAATTTCATGTGCTGTTCCATCAGTGACGATTTGTACTATATTCTGCTAAAGTTAATAGATCTGAAGTCTTTTCCTTTGCCTTTCTTTTTTTTTTTTTTTTTGGTAATTCACTCTGAATTCTCCAAAATTTTTGCAATGTTCCAAACGTTTTATTGTGTGTGTGTAGTTTACCATTTTTTTGTCTCAATACTATTTATCATAATAAAATAAGCTGTTTCAATAATTATCTTCTGACAGTTCCATTGTAAATCTCATTGCACTTATGGTATTTAGGAAAAATAGCAAAATATAACATAATAACACATAATACTTTTATACTGGGAAAAAGCAAATTTTAGCACAGCATTTAATTTTATACTGATTAAATTTCTGCACTAAATATTATCAATTCCTGTCATTTAAAGAATGGATCATTATATAAAAATCGTTAAGCCTTCATTAATACTTAGTTTTGAATTATTAATGGGTAATTGCTAATTGCATTTATGTAATTTGTATCATACTGGAAGCATCTTTTACTTAAACAGGGAACTCAGAAAAACCTTAATGTTACAATAAACAATAAGAAAATAATGTGAATTGCAGTAAAAATATATTAAATATAACCAGTGCATTAAGTTCAATGAGAGATGTTTTTATTTTTATAACTATATATACATATATGTGTATATACATATAACAACAGATTGGTTGATTGGTTAATCATTTGATTTATTGATATATGGATAGATAAATTGACTGCCAGGTAGATAAACATATTTTTTGAAGCTCAGCTACTTGTTCAGAAGCCAAGGTTATCATATATGTTATTAAATCAACACTGGTTTTCGATTCACAAATATTTAGTTTACCAACTTGTCCCTCCTTTATAAGCCCCAGCGGAATAATGTATAATGACCCTATTATAATGGAATGCTTTATCCCCTCTACTGGAAAGTTTGTTTTAATAAATATGCAAGTCTCGTACTTTGGGGTTAAACAGTTATGGTTTTTATATAAAAATTAAAATGATGTTTAAAATGAGTGGGTCACCCTGAGAAGTGTTATGCTCGATTTGAATAACCAAAGCAGTCCAGTATTTCACTTTTTACTTACATTCTTGTTCTTTCCAAAAGAATATGCAATGAGTCAAGGGAGATTCTGTTGAAAGATAAATCTCATGTCTAATGGTTATGCACCATCTGTTGCTTAAATTTTGACGTCCCCCCTACCCCTCCCTGAATAATTTATTTCTGGGATAGATGTACCTATACAATTATTTATTAGATTTTTCTCATGATTCACCTAAGTCATTCATACAAAGAGGTTTGTGGCGCCTATCTCACCAAATGCCCAAATATGTAAGAATGCCAGTGCTGACCACAGTTTAGAGGTCCCTCCTTTCCCCATATACATAAGTATGCATCTTTTTTTCCTCTTTATCTCTCCTTCCCTCTCTCTTTTCCTTTCTTTCTCTCTTTCTTTATTGTCTTTCATGCCATATTACACAAAAGGACGTAAATGTTAGAAAGGTACCTATGTAGAGAGAAAGCATCAAGTTACTAAGCTTTCAAAAGGCCATGTGGGGAGCCTAAAATCATGAAGCAGTAGAATACATAATCCTAATCTCTTTCATCCAACCAATGACAACATAGTGTTTGGAGTTTGTTGTTTCTGTTTATTTTCATTATGCTAATGCACCCAATGATATTTCATAATACTTTGTATTTGGAACTTGGATTTTAATATATAAATTTCATTAAACTATATAATATGTAAAAATAAAATCCATTGCAATAGAGAATGTTCCAAGTTATTCAGCTTAAATAAGCAAAACTGCAGGTAGCCACAGTTAAAGCTGGAAGATAGTGGCCTCTCTATCCTGAGCCAAGGAAATATATCATTCTTTAATTTGTCAAATTTATTTGCAATTGTTTAATGGGTATTTGATTGGTAATATCTTATTTTTAGAATTTGAAAATGCATAATTTGTTCAAAAATTATAATACATAATTTATTAAAAAACAGTGGAAATGGAAATAATAACAATGACCCATTTAAAAAATTGAGTTGATAATCATCTAAAAATTAATGGAAATTTTTAAGGTTCTATGCAATGTATTCTTTTCTTGTAGAAATATTTTGTTGTTTTTGTTGTTTCTCTAACTGATCTGATTTTTAATGTGTTGTATACAGTTTGAATTTAGTTTTCTTACCTTATGTGGTTACAGTGTGTTCCCAGTGTCAGCAGTTGACTTTTATATATCAACTTATTAATTCTATAAGCAAGCTCATTTTAAATAACTATTATATAATTTCTGCTTTAATGCTATGTACATTGACTTCATAAACAGATACAACTCTGATATGAAAATGTCATTTTTCTCTGCAACTACAATGCTACTGTATACATTCTTTGAAAAAATGATCAATAATATCCCCTATTACTTTAGTTTGTTAAGATACCTTCTTGTGATCATCCTACATACAAAAAAAAGAATATAGAGAGATTATAAGATATAGATGCCAGCTCATTATACACACAATTGTATCCTTAGCCCTTTCAACTAAACAAATGCAATTTAGTATTGTAGCCACGTATGTCTTCTATTGGAGTGGATCCTAAAACAAGAGATAAAATAGTTGGCGTTGTTTTATACAGATGGATAATAGAGGTAGTGAAGTACATGACTTGCGGATATTTCCCCCAATGTACTGCTTAGATTTCATAAGGATCCAAAAGTGAAACTGTTGCTGATCCTTCAATCACCGCATCCTTTTATTCATCCTCATTATGTTCAAAACATTGAGGCAAATTCAGACTGTATTTTATCAAACAACTGGATCAAGTTGAAACCAGATATTCTAGTTTGACTTTTAAAATTTTGCCTCTGTCTTTGGAGAGGCTCCTGAGTGTCTTACATTGTTTGGCAGCACATAAATGGCACAAACAACCCTTCTTATCTTATGCCAGAAGAGATTATTTTGAAATTCTCTATTAGAAAATAAAACTTCAGTTTATTTCTTATTATGAAGTATGTAGATATTTTGTAACCATATAGAAATCTATATAAATTCTTTCACATGATCTGAATATTGGCAGAAATGAAATTAAGAACAGTATTATATTATATTTTAAAGACTACTTATATAGGCCCCAAATTTCTACAACATTTGTGTGATCTTTCCATTAAAAAACCATAGTTTCCTTATGGTTATTTTTAAGCTTGGCCTTAACATTAATTTTTGTTTTCAGGAAATGTACCCCAAAAGAACTCTGAGAGAATATACTCAACTGTCCTGCTGTGATTAAACAAGACTGCTGTATTTTGTAAGTTCATCTATTTTTATCTTTATTCTTTAAATAAAGAACACTTTCTGCTGCAGAAAATCCCTTTTCTCATTTGGAATTAGAATCTAATTTTGTTTTAATGGAAGGCTTAATTGATTTTATTTTTTTCAAACTTTGTTTTATCTTAGTTTTATTCAGTTTCAATGAATAATGAAAAGACATTTCTTTTTTAGATTAATTCTGTTTCCTTGTATCTATTGGGTAATATTTTAATGGCTTGTGATATGAATCTTATCATTTGGTAAAAGGGCAGTGCTATCAGTAATGCTGACTTGACCTTGGCAAATATATTGGTAATTTTAGTACCTCCATTTCAGTGAACAAATACATTTGGTTTTACCAGGCTTTATGAAAGTAGCTAAATACCGCCGATCTTTAGGATACAGAGTAATTTTATCTTGTTACTAATACTTAGATTATACATTCAAGGATTATCATATTCATCATGATGAGATATGCACTATATGATTTTGATGTATTAGGATATAACTTTTTTTTGCACTATATGATTTAGATGGATTAGAATATAACACTTATTTATTTCGCATGACCCAGAGCAACCAAAGGCTATTGTGTAGAAAATCATGAATGACATTAAATTGAATGTTTCCTAAACGTTCAAATTTATAATCCTTCTCAGTATCTCAAAGTTGAAATTTTGCTATTTCAGTTTCTGAAACACAATATAAAGCAAATAGATTTTCCCCTGCTTTACAAACTGCGTTCTGATATTGAGATAAAATAGTCCCTTTGCCCATAAGTAGTTTTCTATGACAGACACAGTAGGTTAAGAGACCTGTATTACAGGTTATTTATTTAGACACTTGCAGCTTTTCTTTTTTTTTGCTTTTCCTTCAAGCAGATTTTTTTCACACCGGAAAAAATCATGGCTGTATCCCCTTATAGTAAATGAATGGAGGGATCGACTAGATGGAAAAAAGGTTCTAAATTTCTGAATTCAGTGGCATAATAGTCATTACAAGTGCCCTTCATCAGGGAATTTTTATTATCCCAGTATTTTGAACAACTTAAGTGCTGCGTATGGTAACATAAAGAACATACTTAAGAGTTAGAACAGATTTTAGAAACTTTTCCAGTAATTCCAAGGGCATAAATTAGTTCAAAAATATCTTGAAATTGGTGAAGAATCACATAAAAAGGGAAAACTTTGGAAAGACAAATTTTAACATATATTGTGAAGCAAAAATAAAGATTATGTAGGAGATTTACAAAAAATAATTATCTTGGCTGAGCACAGTGGCTCACGCCTGTAATCCCAGCACTTTGGGAAGCCAAGGCGGGTGGATCACGAGGTCAGGAGATCGAGACCATCCTGGCTAACACGGTGAAACCCCAGCTCTACTAAAAATACAAAAAATTAGCTGGGCATGGTGGCGGGCACCTGTAGTCCCAGCTACTCAAGAGGCTGAGGCAGGAGAATGGCGTGAACCCGGGAGGCAGAGCTTGCAGTGAGCCGAGATTGCGCCACGGCACTCCAGTCTGGGCCACAGAGCGAGACTCCATTTCAAATAATAATAATAATAATAATAATAATAATTATCTTAAACTTAAATGGTGCCCCAGTGGTTTCATTTTGTTTCAAATTCTACCATTTACATTATTATTTTTCCCCAAGGAAATAATCGAGTTTTTCCCCTAAAAAGAAACCTCATTTAATAAAAATAATCAATTCTCAATTTTTAAAATAAGTAATCATTTAGCTACCTATGTATGTATCTCTTCAATTCCAATAGTTTTTTTTAAATTTTCAAATAACATTAAAACTTTCAACAATTTTACATTAATAGGAAACTTCTGTTGAATGTGTCCATATATCAGCTCCTAAGTGTGAACAATGGCAAAGAGATTTGGTGTTGCATATGACCTGTGCAGTTCTATCAGGGGTGAATTTACATTTTCTTTTTCTTTTTTTTTTTTGTTTTTTGCTTTTACTTTAGGTTCAGGGGTAGGTGTGAAGATTTGTTATGTAGGGAAGCTCTTGTCACAGGGATTTGTTGTATAGATCATTAGGATTTCACAACAAGTCTTCTGTTTCTTCTTTACTGCATTCACTCTCTACAGGTCTGAGAAACCCAAGTTGGGTATCATGGAGGTGTTATTAGAGCTTAGATTAGTAAAATCCAGGAACGATTTTTAAAAATCAAGAAGAAGTGTTTTCTTGCTTTGGTCATGCTCTTCTTGATTACTCTGAATGCTTGTGGTTGTGTCAGTTAATGAAGAATCTGGAATATGTGGGAAAGGTGCAAGGATAAATACAAATTATGGTGAAGAATTCTCAGTAATCATGTCTCTGATAAAAAAATTTAAGGAAATAGAATACTTGCATTTGAAAAGGAAAACATAGTGAGATAATTATTATTCTTCATGTACTGTATATGAAGAGATCTTATAGAAAAGGTGGCCAATTCTTTATTTTGTAATTATTTTTTAAAATGTATAGTAAACCTGGACTGTTATTAGTGTAGATTTTCAAACTGTGAGAGTTTTTAAGCGCAGGAATAACCGAAGATAGCACTTTGAAAAATCCCTTCTTTTGAGAAACTTTTAAAGTAAAATAGATCTTATCTTGGACTGTCTGGGGGATGAAAGTGCTCATTAATCCAACATGAAATCTTTTACACCTAGGATTATGTGATCAGAAATTAGTTACTGTTTCACATTCTGTAAATAGGTCATTTTTATCCCTTCAATCAACAGTGGCTTTGCTTTTCTGGAACCATACAGAGGAGAGAGTAACTGGTTTAACAAAGCATCTCACCCTCCACAATGGTCCCAGTCGAATAATTGTCCAGTTTTCAATGGAGAATTAGTACAGTTCTCTCTAAAGGTTTAAGAGATGATCAAAATAGACCCCCTGCTTTTGGAATGGGAATTGCTCTGGGAGCTCAACTAATTTCCTCTGGCTAGAATAGATTTAAACACATGTTTTAACAAACACGTTGTAAAAATCACAGCTATCTTATGCAGCCCATTATTTCCATTCTCTTAAGAGAAGATTATACTTCATAAGGTAATACCTATAAAAAGAGACTATTTTTCTTGTATTTTAAATAAGCAATTTTAGCTTAGAAATAATTCTACTTTCTGGTGATAATGCTAGTTATTTTATAGACTTTGTTTTTTCAGAAACTTTGTAGAGATAAAATTAACATTATATTTTTCCAAGTTTTTTTTTAATTTAAGAAATTCAATCAAATGAATATTTCTGCCAAAAACTGTGAGGAATAGAAGTGCAAAATATGACCACTGCTTCTAAATTGTTGTAATCTCATTGTGGAGAAAATTCATTTATATAAAAATTAAATGTGGGATTGCAGTTAGTTATAAGTGCAGACTATGTTATAAGTCTTGCTCTTTCACAACACCTTAAACTGATCCTTTGCATGTCATGTGTTTATTCAAAGGAATGTAGAAAAAAAAATCAATGAATGAATGAAATGCTGCAGTCATTCAGAGAATAATGCGATTAAATTTTGAACATAACATACAGATAAAACTTAGTAAAAAATTGTTATTACAAATAGAATAAAATAAAAACAGCAGGCTTGACTTAGGAATTTACTTAGTATTGGGGGAATCTGCCCCCAATATTTCAATGTAGGTTCTTTCTATTTTCCCTAAGTGTCAGCCAGCTGAGAAATAGAAAGAGTACAAAGAGAGGAATTTTACAACTGGGCCTCTGGGGGTGACATCACATATCGGTAGTACCGTGAGCTCACCTGAGCTGCAAAACCAGCAGGTTTTTATTAAGGACTTGAAAAGGGGATGGGGTGTACGAACAGGGAGTAGGGGCACAAAGATCACATGCTTCAAAGGGCAAAAAAGAAGAAAAAGATCACATGCTTCTGAGACCAATAAAGGTCACAAGGCAAAGGGCAAAGCAAAGATCACAAGGCAAAGGGCAAAATCAAAAACTCCTGATAAGTGTCTGTGTTCAGCTGTGCACAGATTGTCTTGATAAACATCTTAAACCACAGAAAACAGGATTTGAGAGCAGAGAAACGGTCTGACCTCAAATTCACCAGGGTGGGGTTTTTTCCCCACCCTAATAAGCCTGAGGGTACTGCAGGAGACAGGGGCATATTTCAGTTCTTACCTCAACCTCATAAGACAGACACTCCCAGAGCGGCTGTTTGTATACCTCCCACCAAGGAATGCATTCCTTCCCCAGGGTATTAATTATTAATATTCCTTGCTGGGAAAAGAATTCAGCGATATCTTCCTTACTTCCACGTCCGTTTATAGGCTTTCTGCAAGAATAAAAATATGGCTCTATTCTGCCCGATTCCACAGGCAGTCAGACCTCATGGTTGTCTTCCCTTGTTCCCTGAAAATCGCTGTTATTCTGTTCTCTTTCAGTGTGCACTGATTTCATATTGTTCAAATAAACGTTTCACCATCAATTTGTACAATAGTGGTCCTGAGGTGACGTACATTCTCAGCTTACGTAGATAATAGGATTAAGAGATTAAAGTAAAGACAGGCATAAGAAATTATAAAAGTATTAATTTTGGGAACTGATAAATGTCCATATTAAAATGTAATCTTCACAATTTATGTTCAGAATTGCAGTAAAGACAGGCATAAGAAATTATAGAAGTATTAATTTTGGGAACTGATAAATGTCCATGAAATCTTCACAATTTATGTTTCTCTGCTGTGGCTCCAGCTGGTCCCTTTGTTCGGGGTCCCTGACTTCCACAACAACTTTGTATATAATGTTACATATCTGCTTTAAAGGTATTTAAATCCTCATCAGAGAGAATTTTATTAATAGTGGGGAGCAATGCTAAGGAGATAAGGTTGCTTTAAGCCTCAAAAAGTCTTAATTCCATGTTAGGCAGCCTACACTTTGTTCAGTGGTAGGGATAGTAACAAGAGAGTTCGATGAAATGGTATTCTATCACTTTCTGATAAATTGATGTAAGAAAAAATGGTAAGAGAAATCAAAGATTATG